AAGGGGGGGGGGGGGGAGGGGAGGGGAGGGGGGGGAAGAGTGGAAGGCACACAGAAAAACATCAAGAGGAGGGGCGGGGGCGGGGGCGGGGGCGGAAGGAGGGGTAGGCAGAGGGCGGGGGGGAGGCTGAAGATCGATAGAAAAGAATGGGGGACCATGGTACTAGCGGGTACAGCAGCACAGCACCGACAGCAGCCATCAGGAGCGGTTACGGAACAGTGTCACGGTATGGTCGTGCACGGGTTCAAGCCACCGCCTGCTAGTACAACGGAGACGAGAAGGCATTGGACAAAACACGCCCAAGAGAGAGGGTGTAGCGAAGGAATCTGAGTGGGCGCGGGGATAAGCTGACAAGGCATGCCGAAACGAACAATGTATAGCAGAGAAGAAAAAAAAGCCCCAGGAATACTGGTGACCTGTATCCTGGTTTCTGTTCGGACAGTAGGATTCATCCCGCAACGTGCAGCCAGCCACGTATTTTCTCTTTTCGCAGCACAGACAAACTACTGCGGCGACATCAAAGGAGCAGAGGAACTCACAAAGACCACCAAACACCCAGGCGGCCTATCTACTACAAGCGGTCGCCCCCCCCCCCCCGCCCCTGCGGCGGAATCACGGGGAGGCATGTGTGCAGCAATCGAACACCCGTATACCACCGCCATACGTGGTCGGTCGGCACGGAGGAGGCTGAAACACAACATCCATACAGGTTCTCCGGAGAATCAAGCGTCTGCTCGCACACGAACGCTTTCGCTCCTCTTTTGCTCAAGCACGGCGGCGGGAAAACCAATCCGTCGATGTAAGAAGGGGAGTCCCTCCCTCACTCCACCCCCCGGCAGTCAAAAACAAACCCGCCAGAAGGACAACAACCCACCTGCTGAAACATGTCGATACCGCCAACGATGCAGACGGTCTTGAGGCCGATGCCCACGCCAAGGGCTTCCATCACCTTCTCTCGAAAGAAGCAAATAAAAATGTATTGTGCGGGGCAATTAGTTTCTCGCGTCGGTACGAGAGGGGGGTGTGCGTGTGTGCGTGTGCCATGTAGACGCATGCCGTGGTCGTTAGACCATTGGGACCTCGCATCCCTACGATGCCGGGACGGGGCGATATGCCGGGTTTTCGCCGGTCCAGGCTACGTTTCACAAGGATAAACCAGAAGCTGGTCATCATCCCTTGGGGTGTTTTTTGTTTGAGTCGCTTGTCCCCCGGCTACTGACCGCACATCACCTCTTTCGAAGCCAAGCACGGGTGACGTCCCGCATGCATCTAATTAGAGACAGGACACCCCGGCCATTTTTTCGACAACGCTCCGTGGGTACATGAGAGTGCGTGCGCATGGGAAGAAATATCGGCTCCTGGTTTGGACGGTGTGACCGAAAAGGTCAAGGATAGGGAGGCGAACCCTGTCAGGTTCCGTTGGACGCAAACTACACCTCCAAGATAAGCACAAAAAGCTAATGGGAATTTACACGTCTTTCAACCTCTCGCTCTCATAACAAGTTTTTTACGGTTTGTTCAGAAAAAAACGGCGTTCTTTTATATGGGGATCCTCGTGTAGCAGGGAACGTAAAGTTCCATGTCCAAGTTTGGCAACTCTCTTTCAGGAGCTTAGATTCCGTACACAAAACCTACGAGCACTCCGACTCGCTCTCTCCCCCCCTGCCCGCCAGGCCGCCAAAAGAAACACCTCACGCACCTCGTTAATCTGGAAAGCTAGCTCTCGCGTCGGCGCCATGATGACAGCGAATAGCCTCTGCGGGTTTTCCAAGAGGGCCTGAAGGATGGGGAGGGCGAACGCTCCGGTCTTCCCTGACCCCGTCTCCGCGAGGCCGATCACATCCTTACCCTAACCGTCGTCGTGATGTTAAGACAACCGGGGAGAGGACACCAGGCGGTCACAGCAGCAAGACGCGGCAACACACAGAGAAACGATGACGGATTGATGTTTTGCTGCTCATGTCGATGACATTGTTGTTGTTGTCGTTGTTGTTGTTGACGTCGATCATGTTGCGGATGGTGTTATTGCCGTTGGTATTTTCGCTGTTAATGATTGCTGGTGTACAATGGTCGCTCGATACATAGCAGTGGCAATACATTCGTGCGTGCCGCGGTGATCACACGCAAACTCGCGCGATGTTCGCGGTTGTACAAAATCGTACAAAGACAACTATAGTCTGTGAGACGGCTCGCATGTGTAGAGAGGTTATGGTCTTCGTGCAAAATATACGTGAGAGAAAATTGCAAAAAACACCGCCTGCCCCAAACATAAGGGCGGTCTCTTCTGCGCCTCCCTAATATCACCACCGCGTGGCCAAAATGAGTGAAAGCACAAACGCCAGCACACCACCCACAACCGCCACCCCCCCGGGTCGCCGTGCTCCGTCCCGGGTTTGTAGGGATGCAAGGTCAATGGTCTAACTATCAACTACGGCATGCACTACAACGAGTAACCCCCCTCCCCCCCCCCCCTCCCGTTTCCGCAGGTACGGCCATACCCTCACCTCGAAAGCCAGAGGAAGTGCCTGACGCTGGATCTCCGTGGCGTGAGTCCATCCCAGCTGCGCCGCGGCCTCGCACAGCGGACCCGTCACCCCGAGAGACTCGAACGACGCCTTGATGTCCTCCGGCGGGGGCTCGTCTGCCTCCGGCCCCTTGGGTCGCTTCTCGCCGCTACTGCTGTTGTCTTCGTTCTTCTCTAGGCCGCGGACACGCGTACCCCGGTCTCCAGTTTTTTCCTCGGCAGCGGCTTTTTCGTCGTCGCTACCGCTACTGCTCCCCTCTTCCCCGCCTGCCTCCCCCTCCATCTCTTCTTCTTCGTCGCTACTGCTACTGCTTCCCTCTTCCCCGTTCTCCTCCTCTTCCTCCTCCTCCTCGGCCTCCTCCTCTTCATGAGCACCTCTCGTGTTCCCAACGGCTCTCTCCGCGACGACTTTAGCACCTGCGTCCGCCTTCGCCGCCGCCGCTCCGTTGCTAACCCTCTCAGTGTCCTCTCCTCCTTCTTCATCCGAAACGTCGCCCTCCGATTCGCCATCTTCCTCTTCCTCTTCCTCGCTGCCGCTGCTGCTGCCATCCTCATCCTCCTCCTTCGCCGCCTTGACGCCGCTGCCGCCCTGTCCGTTAGGCACGCTCCGGGCGACTTCCCCGCCGCCGTCAGACTCGTCATCGCCGCTGTCATCTTCATCATCATCGCTGCTGGATTCTTCCCCTGAACTAGCGCCGTCGCTCAAGGCTTCGTCGCTTCCCGCGCCACCATCCTTCACGGCCACTGCTGGTGTCGTTCTTTTCGACTCGCCGGCCCTGATCCCGTCGCCGCGAAGCTTCGGCACAGCCACCGATGATTTCTCGACTGCCTTGCTGCTGCTGCTGCTGCTGTTGCCAGCATCAACAGGCGATTTCTTGTCTCTCGAAGCAGTAGGAGACTTGACGTTCACGGCGCCAGGACCAGCAGCCGTCTTCGTCCCAGCAGGCTTGGTTGCTTCACCACCACCAGCAGCAGCTGGAGGCTTGAGGGTCGCTGCAAGCCTTGCCCTAAGCTTGTCGCCCATCGCGCCGATCTGCACGCGGTCCACGTAGTACCCCACACCGGCCTTCCCCCGCGAGAAGAAGTAGCCGAGCTTACGCCCCGAAAAATTGTTCTTCTTGACGAACTTGGGCAGCGAGGAGAGCGCCTCTGGCAACGGCGGCGGCGGTCGGGGCTTGAAGGCCACCCTTCCAGCAGCAGGCGACTTGCCACCTCGCCGCTGCTGCTGCTGCCTGTTGCCCTTGGAGAAGCTGCGGCCGCCACCGCCACCTCCACGCAGGGCCTTCTTCTGGAAGCCGCGCCCCATGGTGATGCTGCCGTACCAGCGGTGCTCCCTGGCCAGAGATGGGCTCCTGTGTGGTTGATGTCCTTGGCCCTTTGGCCCTTGGCCGTACGCCGTACGTGGAGCCAGTGGTTCAGGAAATGGAGTTCAAGTGGTTCAGATATTGGTTCTCCGGAGAAAGTGCGGTGGAAAGGGGACCGCTCGGGATCGAGTAGTTTTTTTACGGGGCCAAGCTGCAAGGGAGGGAGTGCGCCAGCAAAGACAAGGAGCTTGAGCTGAGGGTCTTAGCAAGCAACGCCATCTTCCGAATGGATGGGACGTTGTATGATGGGACGTTGTATGCCGTATCACCCCCCCCTTGCGCATTCCCTGCTGGCGCGGCGGCAGGCAGGGTTCTTCCTGTGGTGGGATTGACGGCAGCACCAAGCCCAAGTTCCTCGCGGGAAGCCCAGAACGCGATGATGGTCTCAGCCCCGGCCAAGAAGAGGACGTGCCTGCACCCGGGCTGCAGCACTCGGCCCAAGTACGGGGACAAAGAGACGGACTCGACGGACTACTGTACACGGCACGCGAAGGCCTGGATGGTGAACAACACCAGCAAGCGGAGGTCCTGTCATGAGCCCGGGTGCCTCACTCAACCGTCGTACGGGATCGAATCCAGCAACCGGCCCGAATACTGCGCTCGACACGCTCCGGACGGCCTCGTCAACGTCCGGTCCAAGAGGTGTGCCCACCCAAGCTGTACCAGGCAACCCAGGTTCGGCGCCGAGGGCAGCAAGAGGCCGGAGTTCTGCGCGCGACACTGCGCGGAAGGCATGGTCGACGTCTGCAACAAGAGGTGCGGCCACCCGGGCTGCAAGACGCAAGCGAGGTACGGAGCGGCCGGCAGTAAGAAGCCTGAGTACTGTGCGGGGCACTCACAGGGCGGGATGATCGACGTCCTCAACAAGCGGTGCGGTCACCCGGGCTGCAAGACGCGCGCCAGCTTCGGGAACCAAGACAGCAAGAAGGCCGAGTTCTGTTTGAGGCACTCGCGCGAGGGCATGGTTAGCCTCCTCAACAAGCGGTGCGGCCACCCGGGCTGCAAGACGCGCGCGAGCTTCGGGACGAAGACCAACAGGAAGCCGGAGTACTGTGCGCGTCACTGTGCCGAAGGCATGGTCAACGTCCGGTGCAGCAACAAGTGCGGCTACCCGGATTGCAAGACGCGAGCGAGCTACGGCTTGGAGAGCAGAAGGATCGCCGAGCTGTGTGCGAAGCACGCTAGACCAGGTATGATCAACGTGTACTCCAAGAAGCGCGGCCACAACCTGGGCGACAGTGATGGTGGAGATGGTGGCGGCGGCGGCAATGGCGGCAGTGGCGGTGGTGGCTCTGAGGAAGAACCGCCCGGGGATGGAGGCCGCGAAAAGCTTAAGCTGGTAGAGGCCGGGGCTTGTGAACATCATCGGCGGCAGGAGGCATCGGCGGCGGGAGCGGCGGCAAGAAACAAGCCTCCGTAGAGAAAGACCGCTACTACCGCTGCGTTGAAGTTTTAAGTTTCGGAAGAAGAAAGGGACACGTCTCGACGGCAGGGGTGACGCGGAAGCGCGCGGGGTGGACGGGTTTGCGGGGGGAGCTACGGCGCGGGCAGGAGGAGAAGGTGCGGCGGCTGCGCGGTGAACGCCCGGACCGAGAGAGAGGAAGGGGTATGGGTTAACGGCAGAGGAGGCGTTGTGGAAGAGAAGTGAAACTCTGGGGTGTTTGGTCAATGAACTCCGCGCTTCTGCTTTGTGTACCCCCCCCCCCCCCCCCC